TTTTTATTCTGCTTGGAAAAAAAGTATGTTTTGCATAACATATAAAAAAACCTAGATAAGTAGCTTTCCCCAACCCAGATGTCCTCCAGATATGATAGATTTAGAACAGTGACTAAATACTATGTAGCCTAACACATCTGGAAGACTATACTGAAGTACTGGGTACATATCAAATCCTTAGGGGAAAAAATAGGAATGATGCCACATCTTTGCGTATAATATTCAACTTTGTTAGGAGGAATGTGTGATAATGTTTGGAACTATAGAAGGCATAGAAATAGGCATTTCTTGAGAAGAGGCTTTCCTCAGAAGCTTCTGTTTTATTTTGAAATGGGACAAATCACCTATGGGTTCTAATAGGACCATGAAAATAGCACCATCCAAGTTTTCACCAGACTGAAGCAATGGTGGTAAAGGTTAAATTCCTCCTTCAATATAGAAAATAGCTTACAGGTTAAATTCCTCCTTTAGTACATAAAATAGCTTGCATGTCCCTGTAAAGCTGATGCTATATTTATTTAGAAAATAATCCTGCACATTAAAGCAAAATATTTATTTAACACCAGAACTAAGTCTCAGGAATAAAAGAGAAACTAAGATGTATCTTTTAAAAAAATCAATAGTCTCCCCAGCCTACTTCCCAGTTTCCTTTTACTATCAAGACACCAGCTACGGTATAAACTTCAGAAGGAACAGTGAAAGAGGGAATTGATCCCAGTTCTATTTTCTGTTCTCTTAATACCTACTATTATACTGAAGAGGGAGGGAGAAAAGGATTGAGATTTTTATCAACTTCATAGCTGGAAGGAAAATTAAATACCTGTTGTATGAGGAAGATAGGAAAGCTACACAGATTTTTCTTCCTGAAGATAGACAGTTGAATTTAACTTTAGTTTCTTACTTCTCTGAAAGGAGTTTTCAGTGAGTTTATTGATAAACCTTGGTCTGACTGCAGAACTTTCATGCAGTTTACAAGGAAGGCTCTTAGTGATCCATTATGGTCAGAATCAGGTGATCCATCTTTGCTGATTTTTAGTCCTCTTTTCCCAGAGTTCCTGCTGTCACCAGTCCTCATGTACATTTTCTCTGTTGGTTAGTAACAAGGAAAGGATAGCTAAACCTTTTATGCTTTCTTCCACATTCTGAGGGAGAAAATTGTCAGTAACATTCACAGAATTTGTCTCCCAACAGAATAATTATCCCCCTCCCTCCATCACTATTGTTATATGTCCCTGAAATAGCTACAGCTTGTTGGTGACCATGATTCCTATCCTAATCAGGCAGGCAGTATTCAATATCAACAGTGTTTTCATTTGTCCCTCCATTTATTTCTAGAGTATCTCCAAGTTGATCCATTTGGATTTTTCATCAGATATGGATACTTTTAGCAAAGAGTGCACTTCCAATCTCCTTCTATTTCTTCCACTTCTTTTGAACAAATGGTGTTACTTAGATTGCTACTTTCTGCTTATTGAAGTCATCCCACCAGGCCTCTGTTAACACCCGTTAAACATTTTAGTCTTCCTCTACAAGGAATTCAACCTCATCTTTAAAACAAAATTCACATACTGGACTATGGTAATAGAAGCTATAATCTTTATGAGCACGTGTTCTTTCTGCTTTTTATTGAATGGTTTAATAGGATCCCTTACAGCCCACTCTCAACAGTGTTCATGTCTTTATCTGTCTATATTTATGTATTTGTCTTTATTTGTGATTCAGGGTAAAGCTGTCCTGGTCAACTCTCTTATGGTTTTGCAAAAACCGCTTTTACATTCCATATGTACTTCAGCCCCATGATTCTTTTGTTTATGTTCTTGAAAGATGCAGCTACCTGCCTTCTGCCCTTCATTGTCCTACCACCTGTTTATCAAAGCCCATTTTTCTTCCCACAAATGCTTAGAGCCTACTTCATGTTTGAGGGCCTGCAAGGAATTTCTCAGTATAATCTCTGCCTCTTATTTCTGATGGTTACTGTTATTCCTTGGATTTCCTCCTTCATATAGTTAAATAATCTTCATATAATATAGCTAATATGTTTGTTCCATAGACATAATATTTTCCTCTGTTATATTAAAATTTAATAGAGGACTCTGAAGATATACCCAAGATCTGTCTAGCAAGGTAGCCCTCAACTTACAGCCACAGTTCAGACTGGAACTTCTTTTGCCAAGTGAGGTAGTCATTAAATGAATTGTGCCCAATTTTATATTTTTTTGCCATGGTTGTTAAATGAATCACACAGTCATTAAGCAAATCTGGCTTTCTCCATTGACTTTGCTTGCCAGAGTGTATTTGGGAATGTTGCAGATGGTAATTATGTGATCCTGGAATGCTGCAACCATCTTAAATGCATTCTGGTTGTACCAGATCACATGACTGCAGGAATGCTGCAATCTACAATTTTAAGGCTCGGTCATAAGTCACTTTTGTAACTTCAAATGGTTTCTAAATGAATAGTTGTAAAACGAAAACTATCTTGTAGAATCTCATCTCTGTTAGCATCTGGCAAAATAAATGCCATCCTAAGCAGGTGTCCCAGCCTTATGGTTTCTATTTTTAAATTCAGTACTGAATGGGTAATTTACAATTCCTCCTCCTTGCAGTCTCTTGTGCCAGACAGCAAGTTGCTACCTCAAACATTTGAATCAAAATTTTCTTCAGGGAGATATGCTTACTTTGGGGTGTAGCAAAATGAGATTTCCCCAGTCCCTGTTTTTTTGTTCTTTTGGAAAGTGCAGTCAGAACTCTAGGGGAAAAAAGAAGAAAATCTATGCCAAGGCTTTGGGGAGAAAAAGAGTGCTAAGATTTCTTCTCTAACCTCTGGTTGAAGTTGGATTTTACAGGAAGAAGGGTTTTCCAACAAATTGACAGGGATAACATCTGTTCAAGTTCTTTTTTCTCTAGAGGAATAGGAAAAAGTTAGCTAAGTACTGAGTTTCTTTTTTCTCCTGAATATGCTAGTTAATACTGCATTGTCTCTGGCAACTATTCTGCACAAGATCACTGATAATATTTTATGTGCACATCGGAATGGCCTGTACACTGGAAAGTGACCAGCATCTAACATTAGGTCTGTCAGAAAGTTATCTTTTCCTGTATATTTTTCCATTGTAAAAAAAAATCTATTTTTATAAGTAAAAAAGTTATGTTTGTTTTAATGCTGCCTGTTTGCTATGGGGCCCTCTCTCTCTTACATGTTGGAATTAAGGAAGACTCTCTCTCTCTCTCTCTCTCTCTCTTACACACACACACACACACACACACACACACACACACACACACACGCTTTTTTAGAGTCTTGATGAATATGAGTTGAAGGAGTAGGTAGAGTTAGTAGATGTATCTCTGCTACTATTTTTTTTCTTCAGTGCATCACACATATTTTCCCCATATAAGCGAATGATAATGATTCACTTATTTAGATAAAAGCAGAACATTGTGTTTGTGGACATCATTGGGATATAAAGATCATAAGCCTATATGTAATAAGCCTATATTACAGATTTATCCTTGCATAGAAATTTGTTCTTCCATTGTAAGAAAATATAGTTTCAGTTTAAATATGGTGTTTTGGGGGTGGATGGGATGTGCCTTTGAATCAGTATTGATTGCCTGGAAAATTCCCTGCAATTTTCTTGGCAATATTTCAGAAATGGCTTGCTATAGTCGTCTTCCTAGGGCTGAGAGAAAGTTACTGGCTCAAATTCACCCAACTAGCTTTGTGTCTAATTCAGAATTCATAGTTTCCCAATTTCTAGCCTGGTGTTTTAACCACCAACAGCATGGCTTTCTTCAGTTTACATAATATGCTCTCTGCATATCTTGCACTTAAGTTATACTTTTTACTGATGGGAGAAAATGATCTTTTACAGCACGATTCAGAACTTTCCAGTTTTCAGAAAATGTGGAATCTTTCTCATACACACAGATACTCATATACATTCAAACATTTGTTGCTAATATTTTAACCTGTACAGGAAAATGTTGTTTTTCTTTTAAAAGATTGAACTTGCAGTCTATTAGCTAATCTTTGCTGCACTGGTTACCGACTTGTTTCCAGGTCCAATTCAAGGTGCTGGTGTGGCACTGACTTATTTGAGGGACTGCCTTTTCCTGATTTCATTTCATTTTTGCTTGTTCCATCAGATCCAACAGAATAGGTAGTATTACAGATTATGTTATCTAGGGAGCTACATTTTTTGGGTCCTAAGGCATTTCTGCTATGGCCCCAACACTGGAATCTTTTTTTCTCAAGTGAGGATGGCCTTCTCACTGCTAAACCTGTGAAGGTCCTTCAAGACTTTGTTATGCCAAGTCTTGAAGGCTTGGGAACCCCAGTGGATGGGTGAACCTAATGAGGTGGTTGCATTACTATTAACATCCCTTTTCTATTATTCTTGTTTTACTGCTTTTATAGTTTTAAAATATTTTTTGTTAAAAGTAATGATTTTAGATACTTAGATGCCAGAGTCAATTGAATTGAAATGAGTGGCTATAGAAATTGATTATTGCTTGACTGATTGATTATTTTAATTTTTTTGTACGCTGCCCAGAGTTTCTTGTGAAATAATATTAGTATTATAAAATAACAAATGGCTTTCCAAATGCCATTAATCTATAAATCCTGGATTCATTCATATTCGTTTCACTGCTGGGAGTTGTACGTCAGCAGTGACTGGAGGACCATAACTTCCCTGTCTTTGTACTAAAATTAGAAAAGACAAGAAACAATGATTTTGAAAAAAAATAAAATAGTTCATGAGAGAAAAGAAGACTTCCAAAAAGAATGGAGAATCTGAGAATCTGAGTATTCAGCAATCTTGCATAGGCCTTGAATAAATGCAGCATTGCTAACCTAAACTACATTTATAATGTCCTTTAGGAGAAAATGTCTAGCTGAGAGGAGCACATGTTCACAGCTTGTGAGTTTCTGCTGTTACAATGTTACTTCTGCAAATGTTGATTAGATTTGTTTTTTCTTCTCTTATGTTTTGAAGGATATCAATCAGAAATTGCAGGAAGACAACCAGGAGCTGCGAGACCTTTGTTGCTTCTTGGATGATGACCGGCAGAAAGGCAAAAAAGTATCCCGTGAATGGCAAAGGCTTGGCAGGTATAGCGCTAGCATGATGCATAAAGAGGTTGCCCTATATTTGCAAAAGCTGAAGGAACTGGAAGTAAGGCAGGAAGAAGTTGTGAAGGAAAACTTGGAACTGAAGGAGCTTTGTGTCTTATTGGATGAAGAAAAGGGTGGTGTTGCTGGCTGCCGAAATTCAATTGATAGTCAAGCCAGTCTTTGCCAATTAAATGCCACAAGTACATTCATAAGGGATGTGGGAGATGGGAGTAGTACCTCCAGTACCGGGAGCACTGATAGTCCTGATCACCATAAGCATCATTCAAGCTCAAGTCCTGAGCACCTCCAAAAAACAAGGAGTGAAGGAAGTCCTGAGCATCAAAAGCACCGGAGTGCTAGTCCTGACCACCTCCACAAACCTCGTAGTTCTGGAAGTCTTGACCATCAGAAGCATCTAAAAGGACCAAGTCCAGAACATCATAAAACCCTAACCAAAGGTACTTTAGAGCAGCAGAAGCACAGTTGTAGCAGTCCAGAAACACTGCCAAAGCATATGTTGAGCGGGAGCCCAGACCACTTTCAAAAGCATAGGCCTGGGAGCAGTCCAGAACATCAAAAGCACAGCAGCAGTGGAAGCCCTGAACTTCTTCAGAAGCATGCTCTGAGCGGAAGCTCAGAACACCTCCAAAAAGTGAGGGGCACTAGTCCTGAGCATCTGAAACAACAGCATTATGGGGGAAGTCCAGAGCACCTCAAACATTTGGGCAATGGAAGCAGAGAAGGAACCTTAAGAAGACAAGTTGCAGATGATCTGTCACCCCACCATAGGGGCCCCTACAATGGGATGAATGGTGGGTCTTCCTTAGTTATTGTTATTTATTTATTTATTGTGATGCTAGGGGCAATGATTGAGATTTTTCAAAGTAATGGGCACCAATCAGAAAAGGTGCATACCAAATGGTAGTGGCATGTTCACAATGAAGCCATTTTTTATTTTGTCCTACTAAGCAGGAATTGTTTTTGCATTTGTTCTCTCTGAGAAGTGCAGATGAAATTGAAGTTTGCATTGTTGTAATAGGCTGCAGAGCAGTTGCATTTCATGGGCTTTGTGTGAAAGTACTTTACCTGAAGTAAAGTGGTGTGAGTCTGAGAACATGTAGACTTACCTTAGAAGGGAGAAGTAAGAATGAAATGAAGGGAAGGGTCCTCAACTCAAGGAGAAGATTTTAAAGAGAATTGGGGGTGTGTGTTTTGGCATATCTTAATTAGCTATGGTTTCCTTTATGCTTAGGTCTTGGTTTGTTTCAGATGCCTAATTGAAACATATTGATATTAACTGATAATCTTAATAACTTTGAGGAAGGAGACTGTGCTTCTCCAAGTGCTGCTGTCTTTTGGGGAGGTGTCTTGGTGCCTTCATTTGGCAATTTTCTTAAGAGTGTGTTTTATTTTTGGATGGCTAGCTATTGACCTTTCATAGAGGAAACTACAGTAAAAAAAAGTGCAGAAAACAGGTATAGTTTCTATGAGTCTAATATCCATGTAGTGTTCCTATCTTGAGATGGGTGCAGATTTCTTTGAGGAAAAAAAAATATATAGGCAATATAGTTTGGCTGTTATTTGGGGTATTCGTTTATTTGTAAGCTTAATTACTTTTTTTCTGGAAATGTTTACAAAGCAAAAATGGGTTTGCTGGCATTTAGCTTTTTGAATGTATTTGTGATGGCAGACTGACATTTGAACAGTTTCCTCTAGAATGCAGCTATATTTTAAACTAGCACCACAGGAGGCATGCCAGGCTATAGAGGGATTATTTTAAAGATATTGTTGGACAGATGCAGGTCTCAGTGATTATTTAGAACAATGTGATCCAATTATTTTTAAATGTTTTGGCCCATAACAAAAAAACAAAATATATAGGAACATTCCAAAACTATAACTTTCAGTACAGCCCACATATGGGCAAAAAGCAGATTCTTTGATTCCTATATGGGAATTTTTAGATGTCATTCCTCCACTCCAATAAAATCTGAAACAAGAATATCTATGGATTGCTTTGATTCATTCTCACTAACTGTGTTTGAATCTACTATTTTTGTGCATCTTTCCTTCCACTCTCAGAAAGAGAAAGAGATAAATTGCTCAGTAGATTGACTATGTAAGCTCCTGGAGATGATGGATGAATAGCCTGATAACTTGGTTCAGATAGAATTGGGCAGCTTTCTAAGAACTTTGAAAGAACTTCACTTAATATTATGACATATGAAATAGTGAATAGCTTTTAATGTATGTAAATGTAATTGTATTGAATTTACTAGTGTTAATTTATCAGTCAAAATGAAAAGGCTGCTTGTAATCTTGTTAGCTCCAGTATCGCTTTTTGATATAAATCTATCAAAGCTAATAAGAAAGATTTTATTGAAACTTACATCAATGTCATCTCAAATTTTATGACATTCCTCTCTGATTAACTTCACAATTTTGTTGCCTTAACCCTGGAGAAAGTAAAGTTTAAATGTTTGGCGGAAAGGAAGGTGAACCTAACTTTCTGAAAGGCAGCTGCAGGAGGCCATCTAGTGATAACGGGATATTGACCATTCCTTTTAGCCTTTTTTTTCTTTTTCCCCTGCAATTTCTTTTATGGTGAGGAGGACAAGAAGAAAATGGCCTCTAGAGGCAAACTGTTCAGTTTCCTACTCTTATGCCACTTAGAAATGAGTGCAACTTCTAGTGCTATTTTGTCCCTTTTAGAGATGTAATCTGAGAGGGCTAGGAATGCTGCAAATAGGATAAAGGAGCCTTTCTTGCTTGTGTGCTGTGGCTTATTTACCTTAACTTCATAAACCGTATTAGTTTAGCTTCACCTGCACTATCCTATTGAACTTCTCAGAAGCATTTAATGCCTTTCACCATATTTAATATGTGGGATGACTTGTGAGGGTTGGAGGCACCACGTTATAATGGTTCTGCTCCCTTTCTGGTCCATCAAATCTTATTTTGAAATTAATTTCTGTTTTCTAGAAAATTAATGTTCTTTTCCTATTCCTCTCCCAACTCCTGAATGTTCTCCCCTCTGCAAATTTGATATAGATCAGTGGTTCTCAACCTGTGGGTCGGGACCCCATTTGGGGTCGAGCGACCATTTCACGGGGGTCGCCAAACAATGCTTTTCCTTAGCTGTGCTATTCCCTTTTATTCTATTGGTTTTTGAAAGCCAATAGAATAAACTCTCTTGAATAGAGTCTAATTCTATTGGCTTTCAAAAGCCAATAGGAATTGTCCAGGCTGTCTCTGCCCTGCTGAGCCCGCCAAAAGTCCCATTCTGCAAACAGTGCTGCACCAGTTGAGTAGTCCTCGACTTACGACCGGTTGAGTAGTCCTCGACTTATGGTTGGGGGTCACGGCATTAAAAAGGTTGAGAACCACTGATATAGATTGACTGGTTGATATTTCTCTGGGTTCTGTTTCCCACCTCCTGTTTTTGCTTTTTGTTTTTATTTTTGATAGAAGGAAACATTGCCCTCTTCTAGTCATCTGGCGCTTCATCCATCCTCAGAGATTTCTCAGAGGCAGGAGACAGAAATGCTTCACTTTCTCCCAGTGTTCATTGATTGTTTTTTTCCCTGCTGCTTAGGATCAAGATTGCTGCTTATGTGCCTTCTCCCATCTTCTGAAGGAGAAGGAGCCAGAGATTCCCTGGACAGACCACATACATAGCTCCTAAGAGAATTTTAGAGTAGTTAAAATTCCCTTTTATTATTTATTAAGTCTTTGATAGATTGCAGTTTTCTTTGAGAAAATGTATCTTCTCTTTCACTGGAAAGTTAGTACTATCAGAGCTATTGCTTTTTTCTGCCTTCCACTTACTTTACCTTGAGGCTCGGTATTATGCTGAGTTTAATTTGCTGTGTCTTCTTAGCATTATGGTTTCTTTCTAAGCTGTGTCACTTGTTATTCCTTTGATTCTTTTTTTTCTTGAAAGTTCCATCTCTTCTTTTTTTTCTTTATGGGGAAATTTAAAAGTTAATTCACACATGCACATTCACAGCTTGGTATCAATTCACTTAGTTTCTCAACATTGCGTGGCTGGCAACTGAATGTGTTAACCGTGCCTGCTAAAATGCCTTGCATTTGAATGATTATTCAATGTTGCACTTAGAGGGAGATTTACATGGGTGAAAAGAAAAGAATGATTATGGGCAGTATTCCCCACCATCTGTCCACTTCTCAGGTAATATTTGTTGTCCCTGGAAACTGTTTCTTGTAAAATTGCTTCCAGAACAGTGAATGTTAAAAATGCATGTACTATACGTGACTAAATCCTGTTCCTTTCTCTCTATGTGACAAGAATAGAATGGAATAGAAAATACATCGATAGAACCCAAGGTTGGAACTCATCAAATAGGTCAGCACCACAGCAAGCATAGAAATCCTGCAATATGTTATAGAAAAGTATTTTATATATTAATGTTGCTTCTCGCATAGACTAGTGTATTGAAATGGTTCTTGAGCATTCTTTACAGTTCCTGTACAGGTGAACTGTGGAATATTGGCTTTGATAGGATATTTGATTTCTTTCTATTTATACATTAAATGTTATTAAGAACGTGGTCTCTTATCAATATTGACAGCTCTTTTTCTCTACTTTGGGCTGTGTGTTCCCATCATTGACTATAGATGGGAAGGAGAAAAAAATTGAATACTGGGATGGAGTTGCCTTCTTTGAATCCATTATGGCATTGTAGAAAAATGGACTGGAACAACCTAACAAGTACTTGTCTTTTTAAGCTTCTGTCCCATTTTGGATACCATCTATGACAGAGGTCCCCAACCTTTTGGGCACCAGGGACCGGTTCCATGGAGAGAGGTTTTTTCACGGACCAGAGAGGGCATGGTTTCATGTACTGCCTGCATCCCTTGGATGGGGCTTTGCTTGTTTGCGTGGTTTCTGGCATGCCATGGACTGGTGCCGCTCCACGGACCGGGGGAGTTGAGCCCCGATTTATGATACTCTTCAAATTGTTACAAATCATTGTATGCCTCTCTAGGATCACATAATATGCTATTTGGAAATACTTGACACTGCAGTCATAGCTCCAACTTTGGTAAAGGTTGACTATCTCACAACAATCAGATATGATGAATTCTTGCTGATAAATACGATCAGTAGCCTAAGTACTCTCTTAAAGAAGCCTTCTATAGTTTTATTACAAATCCCTTTTGCTTGTCTGGGAGTGCCCTTCATTTTCTGTTTTGCATCTAAGGAAATTATCAAAGGCTGCTGCTTTGCTTCTCACTCCCGGTTGAGGTTATTAGTGAGCAAAAGTAAAAGTGCTGACTAACACTCTCTGGCAACAGTCTGGAGGTGTGATACATCAGGAGATGAACAGATCCTTTAGAGAAACAGCAGTTGTTTAAAGAGGCAGGGGTGACAAGAAAAGAGGTTATTTGTGAGAATGTGGATTCACAGCTGTTCAAAATGTATGTTGGGGGAGATCCGGTTGCAAAATACTGTTCTAATGTATATTCTTTTATAATAAAAGAAGTGTATACCTCGGTAACCTTTCAGGTAGACACTTTCTATAATTAGGATGTGTCTTTTCCTTTTCTTTCCCTGCCACTAAGGTCTTCTTCTTCTTCTTCTTCTTCTTCTTCTTCTTCTTCTTCTTCTTCTTCTTCTTCTTCTTCTTCTTCTTCTTCTTCTTCTTCTTCTTCTTCTTCTTCTTCTTCTTCTTCTTCTTCTTCTTCTTCTTCTTCTTCTTCTTCTTCTTCTTCTTCTTCTTCTTCTTCTTCTTCTTCTTCTTCTTCTTCTTCTTCTTCTTCTTCTTCTTCTTCTTCTTCTTCTTCTTCT